AAGTTGCAGGAGATCGGTGGCCCTCCTACTGTGTTGCTGGGTGCTCGGTTGATAAGGAACATTATGATGGTAAGAGTTTGTGCCTCTCTCACCCCATGTTCTTACAACATGTTTGCAACACTTATCCTAGTCAGCCTCTCTTTCTTCTCTCCCACTTTTTTTTTTTTAGGCCAATTCTTTAGCACAAGGATTACTAGGATGAGCTGAGGTGTAGGTCTACCAGTTTGAGACAATGCGAAGGGAAGAAGAATAGTCTCGAGAAAAGATGAATGTGATTAGGGAGGAAAGTTCCAAGATGCTGGTTGAGATGGACACCCTGCGTGATGAAGCTAAGACCAATTTGGCTAGCTCAGAAAGCTGTTTCAACTCGTTAAGGAGAGAACAGCATCGACAAAAAGGTGGAAGGCTAAGTTGAGAAGATGCTGGCTAAGGTAGAGAAGAAGGTAGACATCTTGTTAGCTGAGATGGAGAAGAGGGCAGAAGAACACATGAAAAGGTTAAAGGATGCCATAGCCAAGGCCATCAAGGAGTACACCACTACCCCTTAGTTCTAGATAGACTGGGATGACTACGCTTCTCTCTCATTCATGAAAGGGTTTCAAGATGTGTCATCGCTTGGTTGTGGCCTTGTACCTGAACCTGAACATGAAGGAGTTGAAGTTGTCTGCCATCATTGAGGAGATCATTTAGAAGGTTGATCAAGAGGAAGACTCGAGTGATGATGAGGACATTGGGGAGGCTGAGGAGACTAGGGACAACATGCCCCCAATGAAAACTGAGATGCATTTGGCCTATTTTCTTGACTCTTTTGTACATACAATAGATCACGCCTTGGGCTTCTGTGCTTACTGCTTAGTTATTTTTTGTTGTATTTGTGATAGTGAATGAAACGAATTGCAATCCTTTTTGATAGCCTATTTTTTTAAATGTTGATTTATGACTTAATCATTTTTCCTAAACATTTTCACATTAGCTGAGTTCGAATTAACTCCCAATCATGCCTGCATCGATCAAGGATTTAGTGTGGGAATATCAATCCCCTCCTGAGTAGTTTAATGATTCTCTACTCAAGTTATCTTAGCAAATTTAGCCAAGTTCCCCATCTTGGTGTTCAATTAAATTGAGACAAGTTACTCTAACTTGTTTACATATTGACAAGATGAGTTACAAACTCATCCTAATTCATTCATCGAATTGAGTTATTCAATTGTCTGAGCTTGTTTTAATAATAATAATTTGAGTTAAAAAGTTCTAATTTTAAATTAAAACACAAGTGGAAATGGATTGAAGACTATTGATGAAGGGAGATATACATTGTTACCTAAAGTATAATTTTAAGTTCTCTACATTACAAGTATAACGCATTAGCCTCCCATCTAAAATCTTGAGCTAGTAAGTTCTAGGTCCCAGCACCCTCACTATCTTGTAGGGTCCTTCCCAGTTGGGGCTCAGTTTTCTAGAACCTACATCAAGTAAAATGATCTTTCTCAACATTAGATTGCTAGCATAGAGGTTCCTTCTACAAACTAAGATACTCTTTACTGATAGGATGTGGTATAGATTTGTGCCTATTTCATGCTTTTTCTATTAAATCAATGTCGGTTTTGAGTTCATTCATCATTACCTCCTCAATTATAGCTCTCTTTGGGGGTTAGGTGCTAGGGCCAATCTACAACTCTCTGGTAAAGGCTCTCCTGGCTATGTGCTTGTACCTTGTGATTTCTAATCCACCTACAATCGTGGCGATCACCCCGACAATTCGTTCTTATTGTTCTCTATATCTATCCTTTGGTTGTTTGACAGGTTTGTCATCCTTGGTGAACTGCTTCAAGTTCATCCGTGACTTCTGATCCTATAATGTTTTACGTCATGTACAAACACTCTTATGAAACTTGCAATATTTATCTTGGTTCCTCTTCACCGGATTACTCTTCATTTGAGGTGGGCACTTAAGGTACTCCTTGATTGAAATCTATTCCAAGATCTAGATTTAGGTAGTGTTGAGGAGTGTGTAGGACTAATACCTCTGGGTGGTGATTAGTCCCTTTTGGGTAACTCTCTATTCATATACTTTTTTCTTTTTATCTCTGTCTTTCTCTTCATCTCAACCTTTTCTCTTCTTCTTTTTATCCCCTGCTCCTTCATATGAATAGCCTCCTTGGCGTTCATGTACTTCTTAGCTCGACTCAAGAATTTTGTCATGTCTTGAGGCATTTTTTTGGCAAGAGAGAAGGAAAAGTGGGGGTCCCTGACCCATGGGATGCTACTGCCGTATCCATGGGTTGGACTTATAAGGCCTTTGAGTTAAAATATTATATGTACTCATGTTGGGTGTTGTTTGGCTTCTATCAGATTCGCATCAAAATAGCTACAATTTGTTGGCACCTATAACTGGTAGCAAAGTGGGCAATAAAGAGATCAAAAAATTGCTCCCATCTTGCAATGGACTAAGGTGGGAGCCCAAGATACCATAATTGAGCTGCTTTGCAGAGAGTGGTTAAAAAAGCTAAGAACATATTAGCTTTTGAGGCATCATGGAGTAAGAAACTTTCCACATGATCAATAGGGTCACTTATTCCATCATAGTTCTCAAAGTTGGGAGCTTTAAAATCCCAAATTCTAGGTTCTAATAGTATCTCGGGTGAAAGCATTGATGAACTTGTTTTCTTTGGGGTAATTGAGATCCGTGGTCGTCTTACTCCCATGTCTCTCATCACGGTGTCAAGGCTTTCACTTCTATTCTCGATTCTACTCTCTAATAGGGCTTGTTGGGGACACTTTTTGCATGCATCTTAAACAAAGACTATGGCTGTCTGAGATGAGGGTGGCTCCTCTGGAACGTATATACTCTCACCTTGGTTTGATGGTTGGGTTTGAGGGTGGATCCTTTTATTGATTAAATGTTATTCTACTAGAACCTACATATTAGGGCATTACTTCTTTACATGTCCTTTCTCTTTGTAGAAGAAGCAGTGTCCCTTGTGATCCTTACCTTCTTTAGTTATGGCCTTTTTCTTACCATTTTGACATTTCCTTTTGAATTATCTTTTATGTGAAGCAATGGTGAGGTGATCACCTTCAAGCATTTAACTTTTAAGCCTTTCCTCTTATTGGACACACACAGAGCAATCAACTTATTTATCTTACATTTCTCTTTCTACATATTATAGTTGATCTTGAACGAACCAAATTGTATAGGAAAAGAGGTCATAATGAAGTGTACAAAGAGTCTTTTAGATATTTCTATATCCATTCCTTCTAGTTGATTTGTCATGCCTCTCATTTTTGTGATCATCATCTTAATGATAAGAGTACTTGCTAAGTGGCTTTGGTCGATCAAGAAAAATGTTCTTCTACTATATTTAAATAATGCATTGCATTTTTCCTTTTTGGAATTTCCCATGGATTACAATAGAAGTGGTACTCCTCATGATCATCCAACTCATACAATTTGAACATTCTCACTTTTCATAAAGTGCTTTCTTTTCACTAGTATTAGTATTAGTGACTTCAATGGGCTTCTCAACTCTAATTGCAAGGTCTAGATCCATGCACCTTAGAACAATCATGATCTAGTTCTTTCATTTGATAAATTTTGTGACAATCAACAATTTAACATCAAACATATAGCCAATAACAATTTTAAATTAACAACTACAATTTTATAATATTAAGCACACAAATATGTCATGCTACATGTCAAACATATACACACACACATAGAGACCTATCAATAATCTAACTTAAATTGGGGTAACAAGCAATTAGATCTCATCAAGACCATTACACAATATAGTCCTTATTAGATCTTGACCCAAGACTGATGTTATGGTTATTGTTCTTTTGTTGGGTTGAACAATAATTTTACAAAAGAACTCCATTGTTCAGACAAATTAAGTGATTATGCTATCTGGGTAGGTCTATCACCATTGCACTAATGGCTTTCCAAGTAAAATGTCTTATTTAGTTTTTCTATCCCACTCCAACCATTTAAAGCAATGTTGTTGATCTACTATCAAACATGGTTAAACGCAAAAATATGACTTATTTATGGAGGAGAACCTAACAGTGGTACCCCAAGTAGAAGCAATATAAGTTTAATATAGGCCTAAGAATTATTATCACATGCCTCTATCACATAATAAATAGCAGATATTACAAAATTAACAAATATTAAGGCAAAGGTGAAAAACTTAACAAAATAATCATTAAATTGGATTAAAATATGCATATCTAGGAATTGTTTCACCATGAAATTTTATTGGTGGAAAATATGGTCTTTTACGAGCCTTCTAAATGTCAACCCAATTTGAAGTTGAAAACCCCATGAATCGGCCTCCCAAAGTTGGCAGTATGATGAACTAACAACTTAGGCATTGAAGTGGTCCAATATACATCTCCAAAGGAGTTTTAGCCTGAAATTTCACCTATAGATGTATCATAGGGTCTATTATGGGTCCACAAAATTTTAGCTAAAACAAAGTTGAAAAACTCCTTGAACCGACCCCCAAAAAGTGAGTTTATATCAATTTGCTAGCTTGAATTAAACCGGTCCAAGCCGAGTCCAATGGTGCCAATCTGGCTGATCCAAGGCGAGTTAACCAGAACCAAACTGTGTCAATTGGAACCAAACCAAATTGGGTCATTTGAGCTAGATCGAGTTGGACTAAACATAAGTTTTTTACGTTGTGTCGGGTCAGGTATTTGCATGGATCTGACACTCATGGAGCATCCTTCTTTGCTCATTTTGGGTGTTATAGTGTTTACTCAATGTTAGTGAACACAACAACCTGGTGGGGCATTTAAGGGATGGCCAATCGATGTCCAAAAGCCTCCCTGTCATCACCGACCACTTTTGGAGTAATTCATATCTCAACACATCGCCAACATGAACAGGAGAGGGTTTCTCTCCCTTCGTAAAATTCATATCTCAACACACCACTTTTGGAGTAATTAATATCCGATTGATCTTTCTTAACACATTCCATATAAATCCTCAGAGCCAGGATTATCATCAAGAGGCAGATTTAGATCAGGTAGAACAAAGAGACTCTGTCTGCTGGCAGCATCCTTATTTTCTGCTTCGTGAGAATCAGAAGGGGGAGATGATGATACTGCAACTTAAAGCTCGGTCGGTATATGGGACAGTGGTAGGAGAGACTTTGGAAGTGTGACCAACAGAGGCTGCTTCAGTCTGTTGGGATTCCTCACAGGTTTCTTTCTTAGGCATGCTTGGATTGTTTATGTCAACCCATTACTCGACAAAAATGTCCAATCACATTGTATAGAAGTCAGCAGGTGCTTTGGGACTCTTATCCTTTTCCCTTGAATCATACGATACGATAATGTTTAAATGTAGTTATTCAGACAATTTTTAGGTATGATAAGGGAGATATTTTAGGTTAAAATTTGAAAACCACCAATTAACTGTGTATACATATGATCTTGTCTCCTGTGTGAACTTTAACAAGTCTTTGACTGTCTTGCCATGAATTGGTCGATCAATTCGGTTGAATTTTTTTAATGAGAGATTTTGTTTGTTTATGTGTTTTAGTTTTTATTTGTTGGATAAATTTCATACCCTGAACTTTGGGGGAAGTGTTAAGTTAGTACCCGAATTTTTAAATGTGTCATTGTAGTATCTAAACTTTCAAAAAGGGTCAAGTTGGTCCCTGTCATTAATCGATCGTCACTTATCTGTTGAAAATGTCAAAACTATGGTTTTTAAAACTGACTTGGTGACCGAACTGGTCAGGGGTCCGTTACCGGGTTGACCGTTCGACCTGAACAGTCAGTCCGTTCAATTAAAAAAATTGAAAAACGGTCAAAATCGTTCGAATGGTTAACCGGCCGGTTGAGTGGTTTGCTGACCAAAATCAATGGTTTTGGCGAAAAACGGAACCGATCAGGTATTCCTCTTGAACCCTTTACTGTTTCAGTTCCCACTGATTCTACTAGTCCCATTACAAATAACCTAGACCTTCCTATTGTTCTTAGAAAAGGGAAGAGAAAGTGTACTGCTCATTGTATTTCACAGTATTTATCCTATAGTGAACTTTCTCCTTCATACCATTCTTTCCTTTCCTCTCTTGATTCTATGTCTATACCCAAGGGTGTCAGTGAGGCTCTCTCCATATCAGAGTGGAACACATATATGCAGGAAGAGATGGAAACCTTAATTAAGAATCAAACATGAGAGATTGTGGACCTACCTGAGGGCAAGGAGACTATTGGATGCAGATGTGTTTACACAGTTAAATATAAGTCAGATGAAAGTATAGAAAGGTATAAGGCCAGATTTATTGTAAAATGGTACATACAGACCAATGATATTGATTACTTAGAGACCTTTGCACTAGTTGCAAAGATGACTTCTGTTCGGATACTTCTTTCTCTTGCTGCCACATACTCTTGGCCTCTGTTTCAAGTTGATGTGAAGAATGCTTTCCTAAATGGAGACCTGTAAGAGGAAGTGTATATGGATCTTCCTACTAGTTTCTATAGTGATGCTGAAAAGGGAAAGGTATGCAGACTTAAGAAGTCACTTTATGGTTTAAAGCAGGCACCTAGAGCATGGTTTGACAGGTTCAGGAAGGCCTTGGTCACTTTTGGCTACTCTTAGACTCAATCCGACCATACCTTGTTTGTGAAGCGGAGGGGATCCTTGATGTCAGTCCTAATTGTTTATATGGATGATATTGTTGTCACAGGGAATGACCTAAGTGAGATTGACAGTTTGAAGAAGAATCTACACAGGGAATTTGAAATTAAGGATCTTAGAGAGCTTAAGTACTTATTGGGCATTGAAGTTGCAAGACCAAAACATAGAATCTTTATTTCTTAGAGGAAGTATGTTCTGAATCTTCTATAAGAAATAGGGAAGCTTGGAACAAAGGCAGTCAATACTCCTATTGATCAGAATCATAGAATTAATGCATCAGAAAGTGAGCTGGTAAAGGACATTGGGAGATATCAGAGACTTGTGGGGCGGCTGCTGTATTTGTGTATGACAAGACTAGACATCTCATATGCAGTGAGTGTGGTGAGTCAATACATGCATGCCCCACGAGTGCATCATTGGGAGGCTGTTGACAGGATTCTTGCTTATCTGAAGGGACATCCGGGTAGAGGAATACTATTTGCTGATCATAGACAGTTGAAGCTAGAGGCTTATATAGATATTGATTGGATAGGATGCCTTGATGACAGGAGATCTACTTCAGGAGTCTGCACCCTTGTTGGGGGTAACCTAGTCTCGTGGAAAAATAAGAAACAAACAGTAGTGACAAGATCAAGTGCAAAAGTAGAATACAGGGCCATGGCATATGGAGTTTCAGAACTTCTTTGGATCTTGTTCCTTCTTAGGAGAGATTGGTGTAAAGGAAAAATAACTTATGATGTTGTACTATGATAATTAGGCAGCAATTAACATTGCCCATAACCCATTTCAGCATGATTAGACAAAGCACATTGAAGTGGATAGACACTTCATCAAAGAAAGGATGACTTTTGGGGAAGTTTGTCTTCCATACATTGCTTCTGATCTGTAGCTTACTGATGTTTTCACAAAAGGTGTTGCAAGAAACAAGCTGGAGCATGATCTACGCAAGTTGGGAATGTGTGACATTTACTCCCAACTTGAGGGGAAGTGTTGAGTTGGGCCTATTTCTAGTTATTGGGCCCAGTTATTTATTTCTAATTTTTAAGTTGTTAAGTTAGGAAGTTGTTGGGCTTTAGGCCCATTAGTTGATGTTTTTTAAATTGTAACTGTTAAGCTACTTAAGTAGCCACCCTACTAAGGGCATTCTTATAATTTCTTATTCTTTTAAGTTGAGTATATAATACAAAAAGAGGTTGGCAGCAAAAAATAATTTCTTATTCTGAAACTCTTCTTCTTCTTCTTCTTTCTCTTCACAAGGAATTTATCTAAAACTGCAATCGGTGATTTCTACTACTTGTAACTTCACAAGAGTTGTAATCCCACTAAACCTCTGACACTCATCTATATAAAGGCTACTAGGTTCGATTGATGATCAACTCACTAAAACCTACAGTTTTCTACTCCAACTCTCCTCATCCTTATTATCTTTATTTTTTCTAGTTTCCAACTTGGTATCAGAGCTCTGGAGAATGTTTCATTTACAAGCAACAACCCAACCATCAATGCCGAAGATAATTTTTCAAATGGAGCTTCTTCACTCCATTAGTCCACAACGTCATGCACTACCTGCGTATTAAACTAGGTAGCGACAACTATTTGTTGTGGCGAGCCCAGTTTCTACCAATAATCAGGCATCACTGTTTGATGAATTTGGTAGAAGGGAAGAAGCAACCACCACCAAAAGAGATTTTGAATCCAAACGGCACCAATACAATCCCAAATCCAGAATTTGAAAATATGGATCAATGAGTGTTGAGCTGGCTGATCTCTTCACTTACCGAAGGCGTAGTGGCATAGGTTGTAGGCCTCTCTACCTCATCAGAAGTTTGGGACACACTAGCAACCAGTTACGCCACATACTCTAGATTGAGGGTTCTACAACTAAGTCAACAACTCTAGAGTCTCAAAAAGGGCTCACTATCCATATCCACTTATGTGCAACATGCAAAGTCAATTGCAAATAGTCCCTCCACTGTTTGGTACCGATATCCAATTCTAATCTTGTTTTGTTTAGGGAAAATTCTCGATAGGTACACTAAACTTTAGGCCGAGTGCCAATTTAGTACCCGAACTTCAAAATGCGACAATCTAGTGCCTGAACTTTTGAAATGTGACAATCTAGTACCTATTGTTAATGGACCGTCAGTTATGTATATTATGTGACCTCATGCGCGATTTAAGACTTTCGGAAATGTCAAAATTACCCTGGACACTGTTCATCATCTTTTTTCTGAAGAAAATGAAACGGAGACCAAATTCTCAACAATCCAAACCATCATTTCATGACGAAAACCCAAGAACCCAAAATAAAGGGCTCACCGCTTGCTATCCTGCAAGAGCAAAATAAAGGGCTCACTGCTTGCTATCCTCCAAGATCCGAAAATAAAGGAAGCGACAAACCCATGTAGAGTTTGTTGTCTACAAACGATGATGTCAATTGTAGAGTGCAGACTGCGAGTTCATAGATTTTCATCTGTATCTGTAATCAAAACACTCAAGAGTAGAAGGAAAAGCTTAGCGTTCTTCTATTTGGGTTTGTTTGTTCTTATGATGGAGAATAAGCAACCAAGTAGCGAGTTCGGCGATTCTAGTTTCTCGGCGAGTTCGACAACAATTTTTCGCCCGAGGTGATTCCTGAAGCTCTGCCTTAGGGCCAGAGCAGTCCACTCATGTGCCCATATGGTCTCTACGCCGAGCAGATCTCTAGCACCTCTTTCACTTCACCTCGCAAGATTAACCAGAAAAGGTTTGTTTCCATTTCTTCCTTCTCATATTTTGCTTGTTAGATGTTTCGGATTTCAATTGATTTTGTTCAATTAATTTATTTATGAGGAACCGTTGGATGGGGTGATATATATTAGTAGAAATTTATCTCTGGAAGGCGAAATACACAACAAAAATAGGAATTTTAAATTAGGTTTGTCTTAATTTTCGTTTAAGTTTAAGATTTTAAGATTTCTTCGATGAACAGTCTTTCTTCTACGATTAACATCTTCCGAAGCTATAATTAATTCAACTATCAATTAATTTGATGAACAGTCTGCACTTTACAAGTGACTCAGAGGTTTCAAGAACATCAATCCTTTTATTAGAGAATTAAAATCATTTTAAAAGAGGGAGGGGCAGCTCGGAGGTTTCAAGAATGGTAGTTGATAAAGAAAATTAGATGATACTTGAAGGACATTTGTGTCTTTTCCCATGATACTCAACGGCTAGTTAACGGTAGGTACTAGATTGTCACACTTTGAAAGTTCGGGTACTAGATTTTTGCATTTTAAAGTTTGGGTACTAAATTGGCACTCGACCTAGAGTACAGGGTACCTATCGGGAATTTTCTCTTTTGTTTATTTTAGCTGGCATTGGTAATGAATATGAATCAGTAGTTACTGTAATAACAAATAGACCTGATGCTAATAGTCTTAGTGTACAAGATATTCTTGGTTCCCTTCTCAACCATAAAATCTGACTTAAGGAGCAATCTTGTTGTTCAAATGATTCTTCTATTAATGTTAATTTTGCTGATGCAAAGAACAAAAATTATCAACAGTAAAGGAAACCCCCTCAATAGTATGCTCCTAACTCTAATAATGGGCGTGACAGGGGAAGAGGTCCAGGACCTACTCCATTTAGTCATCAATAATTTTACCACTAGAATAATTTCAATAATCAACAACAGTTCCCCGAACAGTTTTCCGATGGAGGTCGAGGGAACAAAAACTCCAGTGTGACATGTCAGATATTCTATAAGAATGGCCACATTGCGCTATAGTGTCGTAAGGCTAGGTATTTTTTGGCTTTCAAAATGATAATAATTCTTTTAGTGGTCCAACTACTTATCATGGAGTAGTGAATACTCCTCAATACAATGGGAACCAATTGTATCAATGGAACCAAACATACCAGTCATTTGATTCGACTTGGTATCCGTGTTCCGGTAATACTCACCATATGACTCTAGAGATTGACAACCTGCAAAATTAGTCAAAATATATGGGTTCAAATCATGTTAAAGTTGGTAATTGATAAGGCCTGCGAATTTCTCACACTGGGTCTTCCACTTTATTATTCAATCAGCATGCGTTCACTTTAAATGATATTTTTCATGTCCTAGATATCTATAAAAATTTGCTTTTAGTTAGTCGACTTACCAGAGATGATGATCTATATTTTGAATTCCATTGTGATTGTTGCTTTGTAAAGGACTGTACGGGGAGAATTCTTCTTTGAGGGGTCAGTAGAGATGGTCTATATTGCTTCTCGTCATCAACTGCTATTTTGAACACATCTCCGCAGGTTTTCACGGGAGAGCGAACTTCAGTTCAAGGATGGCATCTCCGAGTGGGACATGCAACACTTCGGATTGTGAGGTTGGTTATTTCATAGCATGGTCTTCCATTTCATGTAGATAAATCTAGTACTTTAGTTTGTGAGTCTTGTCAGCTTGGTAAGAGTCATAGGGGTTCTTTATAGTCATCTTCTTTTTAGTCCAAGCATCCTTTAGATTTGATTTTTTTTCAAATGTTTGGGGACCAGTCCCTGCTAAATCGGATAGTGGACATTCGTATTACTTTTTATTTTTTGATGATTCTTGGATTTACCCTGTGGAGCGAAAGTTTGATGCTCTTGACATTTTTCTGAAATTCAAACAACATGTTAAAGTTTTATTTAATGCCAAAGTTCGCTCCTTCCAATCTGACTGGGGAGGAGAATATCGAAAATTGTCAAAATATTTAGATTTACAGGGAATAAGTCATAGTGTAATCTGTCCTCACACACATGAGCATAATGGTTCTATCAAGCGGAAGCATCAACATATCATTGAATCGACCCTCTCTCTACTGGCCTTCTCCAATATCCCTTTTTCCTTTTTGATCTAGTAGAGACAATAGTGTATTTGATTAACAGACTGCCAACTCCCACTCTTCAGGCCAATCTCCTTATGAATTGTTGTTTCAGCTTACACTAGATTATTCTATGCTCAAATGCTTTGGTTGTGTTTGTTACTCATTTCTTCGGCTATACAACAATCACAAGTTCATGTTTCGATATCTGCCTTAAATCTTTATTGGATACAAAAACACTCACAAATGGTATCGATGTTTCCATCCACCATCTGGGAAGCTCTTCATTGCTAGACATGTTATATTTGATGAATCTCTATTTCCAAGTATTTCTCGCTCTTCAGCATCACCCATTGCACCATCTGGTGGGACTTTAATTTCTACTCCAGCCTACCTGACCGAACCAATTCACACCTCCTCATCACTAGTGGCATCTGATTACACCCTGGAGACCTCCTCGGTTGCCTCCAATGGTGCACCTAGTTCTCCCATTGAGCCAATCACTTACAACTTGGGTGTCGACGGCTCCTACACACTATCGCAATGTTCAAAAACTACTTGACTATCTGGTTGTTCTTGCTCCCACTCGACAACACTCTATGGTGACTCGGTACATGGATGGGATCTTACCCGTCCGATCTCACCATGCATCTCGGTACCCACTACCCTTGTCACTTCTTTCTCTTCTTACTAATGCTGAAATGGAACCTTATTCTTATACCAAAGTAGCTAAGTCTTCTCATTGGTGGGATGCTATGCAAAAGGAGTATAATGCTCTCATTACTAATGGTACATGGGAGGTCGTACCTTGGCAGCCTCATATGAATGTTGTTGGCACCAAGTGAGTATAGAAAATTAAAAAGAACTCTGATGGTACCCTCAATTGTTGTAAAGCCCACCTTGTTGCTCAAGGTTTTAACCAAATTCTAGGCATGGATTTCTTTGACACTTTTAGTCTAGTTGTGAAGTTGGTAAATATTCCTACTATTTTATCTCTTGTGGTTTCACAAAAATGGTCATTTTGGCAGTTAGACATTAATAATGCCTTCTTACATGGTTTTCTCGATGAAGACATCTATGTTCAACAACCACATGAGTTTGAGGATTCTTCGAAACTAGATCATGTATGTAAGCTTCACAAGACACTTTATGGCCTTAAACAAGCTCCTCGAGCTTGATACTCTTGTCTTAGTGGTTGTGTTGTTGATATGGGGTTCCGACAATCCACTGCCGATCCCTCTATCTTTGTATATGATCATGGCAATATCAAATTAATGATGCTAGTTTATGTTGATGATTTGATTCTCACTAGAAATTTGGCTATTGCCATTGATAAGTTTCTTGCTGCTCTCTCCAATATCTTTCCATTAAAGGTTCTTGGGTCGTTGCATTACTTCATTGGTATTGAAGCACACTCCACTGCCACTGGTCTTACTTTATCTCAACAACGCTACATAACCGAGCTCCTATGTCATACTCATCTTGATGGTGCAAAGCCTGCCTCCACTCCCATGGCAACTTCCATGAAACTCTCCAAATTCTCTGGAACATCTCTTGCTGATCCTACAGAGTATCAAAGTGTTGTTGGTGCTCTTCAATATGTCACACTAACCCGGCCTGATATCTCCTTTGTAGTGAATAAAGTTTTCCAGTTCTTACAATCACCCACTGAAGAGCATTGTAATGTGGTCAAACACGCATTGCGTTACCTCAAAGGTACTATTGATTTTGACCTTCATTTTCGGGCCTCTGATCTTGTACTGACCAACTATTTAGATGCTGACTGGACTAGCTTTCCGGATGACAAGTGATCGTTGCGTGGGTACTCTATCTATCTTGGCACCAATCTTGTTTGGTGTGATAACATTGGCGCTACCTATCTAGCCGCCAATCCTATCTTCCATGCATGCACGAAGCATGTGGAAGTTGATTACCATTTTCTTCAGGACCTAACGACAAAGAAGCAACTTCAGATTCAGTAAATTCCTTCTATTGATTAGATCGTGGATGTTTTCACGAAGCCATTAGCAACTACACAGTTCGAGCTTCTATGGTCCAAACTTCATGTTGCCCTGCTCAGCTTGAGGGGGTGTGCTAGGACTCCCACTAGTCCTACTATAGATCGACCAGGATAGTTTGAGTGTATCCAAACTCTTGTAGATAAAAATTAAGTTTATCATGTTCATCATATAGATAGAGTTGAAGTTTATCATGTAACTTGTAACCTCACAAGAGTTGTAATCCCACTAAACGTCTAACACTCATCTATATAAAGGCTACTAGGTTCTACTCCAACTCTTCTCCTCTTTTTTATTTTTATTTTTTCTGGTTTCTTGATTTTCCAACTTGAAGAAACATGTTTGTAGCTTCTTCTACGAAGCCAAAAGATTGAATCAGGCCCTTCGACCACACCTCCCCTAACACTTCTACTGAGACAGATTTAGGGAACATTGGGGATTTTGGTGCCCAAATCACCAACCGGAGGGACTCGATGTTCTACCATTTCACATTTTCCTCGTGCACTTATACAAATCCCCCCAACACATCTCCTATTTCTCTAAAAGTTTCCCTAAAGGGGGACCCCAAAACATCTTACCCTCTACTTTACCGCAGATCTCAGAGTTTCTCCATCTTCCAATCTCATATTTCACTACTGAAAGCACACCTTGTACCCGTCGGATTGGTCTCCAAGAAGCATAGGGCCTTCGTTTCAAACTAAAAAATGAGAAGCAATTGTTCACCTGCAAGTTTTCTGGCTGAAACTTCAAGGTCTTTGACCAACCAGTTTTAACCTTTGAGATAGTCAGGCTTGTCCCTTCAAACTCTCCGACTAAACACCGCCAAAGACTACATTAATTGCCTTTCGATAACCCCTGATCCACCCATGCAAACCTTGTCCCTTGCATGAGAGGAATTCGGATTAGCTCAATGCGAATTTAAACTAGGGCCCATGAATTTATTACTGGCGTGGAACCTTATCATTAGTTGTTCAACAGTAATCATGTTCAACCAAACCTTGCTCGCATGAGAGACCTGCACAACCACCTTCTCCTCTAGAAAGCCAAGGGCCGCCATTCACCAAACCCTCCTTCACCTCTTGTCCAAAATGTTGGGAAAGGCAACGAGGGACATTAGAGAACTATTCAATGTAAAAGCTTAAGCTGTTAAGTGAGATTGTGGTATTATTTAAATATTATATTAATATCAATTTACTATTTTCTAATTTAATAATATATTATCACATAATTATTATTTTTCTAATAATAATAACATATCAATAATAAAAAGTTAAAATATAAAGATACTAAAATATTATTATTTTAATAATGCTAATTTAATATTTTATATTATGTTGAATGAATATATTGATATTATTTTATTTTAATATGATTAAAATTAAGTATAATATTATTTTAATCATATTATATTAATATTTTCGCTAAGTAATATGAAAATATTGTGTTATTATTCTAATTTATGATTATACTATTAGTTTTATTTAATTATATTTTATTATTTGATGTTTTACTTGTTATTATTTTAATAGGTTTTTATTATTTATTTTTTGTTGCTTTTTATGGGGAAAAATGGTAGAGTAGTCATTTTAGAATTCAGCATTCAACCCAACCCAAGTTGCACCTCTATTTAGTTGACTTTCAGCTCAACCCAACTGGCCCAAGTTGCATCCATGACACTTTACCAACTGTCACCAAACTTTGCAAATGCAGACCATGTGAGGATAGAGGGCTTGGATTTCACATCTGTTGTGACTACAACAATTACTTTAGATGGTGTTTGGTATCCATGTAGCTTTTGGAAGAAAGAGTGCCAGCTCTGCATTGGAAATGCGTTTAGCAGAACAATCCCTAAAAACTTATTTGGTTGAACTGTTTATCTGATAAACGACTCTCTCGAAAATCGTGTGAATCATTTATTAAAAAACATCAATTTTGATGTTTTTCATTTTCAAGACCGATTTTTCACTATTTAGTCTATATGGCGCCTAATGGCATCTAGTGGTGCCTATTGGCACTGAGGTATAAAAAAAATCGTACAAAACATTTAAAGCAGATTTTGTTTCGTTTTTGAAGACAAAATACGTTTATCTTATAAACGCCATGGATGCCAAACAACCTCTTAAATTCCCCAATCGATTTGAAGGTGTAGATGCCAACAATTAATGCAATAAAAGAACAGACCATTTTATGCTTTGAACGCTCGTTAGACACCTGTCCATATAAAACTCGGCATGATGCATTTATGCATATAAAAGTTTTCAAATTTGGAGTGCTTTTGAACAAAATCTAATTGCGGCCATGAATTTTTGTTACGAACAGATCTGGAAGAGAATCAATCCCTTCATATAACTACAAAAGAAAGAACGATTTGCAAAAGAATCAATGCCTTGGCTTCTGGGTGAGCAAAGGGTTACTTCAATTCCTACGAATATAATTTTATTTGTCAGACAAAAGCTCATCACCGGCCGGAGAACGCTTAACCCGATGAAAACGCTGTTATGTGTTATCAATTCTTCTCCAACTTGTTCTGCGTCATATTTCGCCAACTTGGTCATGAATTTAAAGCTGACATGATGATTGGTCTTTCTTTTCCCCTCAGATCATGAATTCCAAAAGCATTACCACGCAAAACCATTGGGCGCACTAGGAGTTGTCTAGCTTGGAATCTAGAAGAGTTCTCATTTTCCTAAGAAAAGAACTTTTGCTCCTTTTAGAAAAAAAAAAGGAAACAATCCTATCCAGAGAGGATGATAAGGCCCACACCTTAGTTCTAAAAAATTTTGTACTTTCCAAGATTATTTCATCTTTTCTAAATAAGATATAAAAGGAATGAAAGTCAACTCCTGAAAATTGAAAAAGCACCACTTGACAGAACAAAAGTGATGAATTACATAATCAAGCAGCTTATCTGAAACATCTTTTTATTGGGTTGTTGCTCTCTCTCCATCTCTCTCAAATAAAGAAAAAAGATGAGAAGGATGGAATAATCTGATATTGCTTGCAAAAGTCAAAAGTTTCAGCGGACCTCAATCAAGCATTTTCAGGTTTGTTGGGGTGAGGCAGCTTGCAGGTATTACTTGTTCATCATCTATACGCTTTACTAAGCCATGAACAACTTGCCAGCGTCCGGCCTTCATGCAGCTAGGAACTCTCCTTTTAATTGGACTAATGTGGGAAATAAATACAATCTTGGCTGCATTCCACTCTCCACACCTCTTTATGCAAGGTCGTTTGACGAAAGCTGCTGCTGATCTAATGGCAACCGTCGCATTTAGTTGGACATTCCCTGCTTGCTTTGTGGCTCAATTTTAGTTCTTTCATGCATGGACAGTGAATCTCTGTTGACAGAATTGTCTGTTGGCCTGGGCCTTGCATGAGAAGAAGAGAACAAAGTGTAGCCAAAATTACCTCTCAGGCGCAGCCTGCAATGCAGATACACCTATGACCTATACCACTCATGCAAAGCCAGTATTTGACAAAAGTAGTCAATGGTGCTCTTAAAACAAAATCCCCTACTCGATACATTGTTAAGCAGTTGAAATTAAAGGATCTTTCAATTGCCTCTCTAGGCCTTACATGTGAAGAAGAAGGCAAACTGTAGCTAAGAACAACCTGCCAATGGCAGGCAAATCAGGTAAATCCGTCTGTTGCTCCATATGGGCAAGTCATATTCTTGGCTGCATTGCACTCTCTCTATCTCTTCATACAAGTCTGTTGGGCGATAGTTATTACTAATCACATGGATCTATCACTCCATGCACTACTGCTGGTGGAAAGGTTATCTCAGTTCAGTTGCCTCTCTAGGCCTTGCATGTGAAGAAGAAAGTGAAATGTAGCCAAAAACAAACTTGCCAACGACAGGCAATTCAGTTCAGATAGACCCATCAGTTGCTCCATGTCGGCAAGTCATTCTTGGCTGCTTTCCACTCTCTACCTCTTCATGCTAGGCCATTGGGCAGAAGTTGTCAATGGCCGGCAGTCCTCAGACGGATCTCTCAATATCCATAAACTTCTGGTGGTGAAGGGGTCTTTCAACTCAGTTGCGTCCCTAGGTCTTGCATGTGGAGAAGACAGTAAAATGTAGCCAAGAACAACCTGCCAACCACAGGCAATTCATTTCAGATAAACCCATCTGTTGCTCTATGCAGCCGGCAAGTCATTCTTGGCTGCATTCCACTCTCTATCTCATCATGCAAGGCCACCAGCTGACGAAAGTTGTTAATATATGGCAGTGGAAAGGGTCTTTCAATTGCCTCTTTAGGCCTTGCATGTGAAGAAGAAAGCGAGATGTAGCCAAGAACAACCTGCCAACATAGGAAATTCAGGAAAACCCATTTGTTGCTCTACGTTGGCAAGTCATTCTTGGCTGCATTCCACTCTCTACCTCTTCATGCTAGGCCTTTGGACGTCCTGCTCAAAGCACAGAACTCTCAGTGTCAGTAGTTTATATATGATTCTCAGTTCTTCACACTAAACGGAGTAATGCTGATCAACATATATATAGGCATAGCGAGCAAGTTGATGAATGACACAGCGCTGAGAATCTAAGTTGTGTGCTTCACCATTTTACTGTTTGGACAGGATCACACCACCGCACCCCCAAATTGATAAAAGCAGCTTGTGGCCCAGAACAAAATTCTGGCCTAACTTCCATTAATGGACAATGGGGGTGGTAAAATGCTTGCTTGATTTTTGGTGGGAATAGAATCTTGGGTGAGGGAATTGGTCGACGATTGATTTGGTGGGGGTGGTCATGCTTTAGACACGTTATCGAGGTAGAGGACGAATCGTTA